GTCTTGCAATGCTCGCCCACGCCATGACACACGCATGTGTCATGGGGTAGCTCACTTAGGCCACAGGGCCCAGGGGTGGTGAAGAGCTGACAACATACCTTCCCCTAAGGTACATTCTAAGGCATTCTTGGTCTGGCATGCGTGTACGTGCAAAGTGGCAGGGAGTCAATCGTCAACGTTGAGCGCACGTCTGAACTCCGATTGACACGAAACTTGTTGTGCTTGCATATCTCACTTATATGCATCTAACTCTAAAGCCGCTCGTCCAAACTCTCGACGGAACCCTTACTTCTAGGGTTATGGCTCGAGGCCCCAACTGGCCCTCGTTGAGCTTGTCACCAACACCACTAACATCGTCTTCAGCTTCCATTCTGCATATGCCTTCTCTAGGCATCTTGAGTACATCCATGGGGTGTGATAGGTGATGCACCATCCTCATTGGTCGCATCACGACACTTCTCTCTCGGCCCTCAACATGGCCCAACGGGCGACATATGCATGTCGCCACCACTTGTCCACTACGTGGGTGTCACAACCTACTCTCTACTAGTATGGTTGTGACACGTGGTCTTCACGTAGGTATATAAAAAGGTATCATGTCATCCTTTTCGTACATATCTTGCTTGAAAGTTTGTTTTTTCCTCTAAACAACAGTGCGGTTTATTAAGCATCTTTGAGGCTTTAGAGAATTTATTGCGCGGTTTGTACGTTTTTTGAAGGATTTTTTAGCGGACTATTAGGATTGGCTGTAGTCAGGGAACCTGGTTGGGCAGTTTTTTGGGCGGTTCTAAGAGCATAGTGTAGTTTATTGGGCAACCAGAGATTTTACGCATCTAATTAGGCATCCTTGAAGTCACTTGGTTGGGCATTCCTAAGGTTCTATCTAGTAGTCTCTTTTCCTTTGAGAAGCTCATTTGGAGGAAACTTTTGCATACTTTCAAAGTAACTCTTCGATCTTTTACTCTTTTTCTAATGCAATATGAAGGATTTTGGCTTAGGAAGTTCGGTAGCCGTTAGCTCCTTAGATCCTTGTTATGAAGAATTTACATTTGATTCTTTAGAACTCTTTGACCCAGCTAGGCATTCCTCTCCTATACCTTCCTTAGACGTAGGGACCTCGAGGGTTGGGGGAGATACCGATGAATGTTCTTTTGCTAAGGCGATGGTTGAAAGAACGACTACTAGGGTAGCGAGCAATGAGTTTTTAGGTAGGACTTCGGACGAACCTGATAGTGTATATATGAGATGTGCTGGTATTACCGCTATATTAGAGCTAGTGAATACAGTTGAAGTAAGACCAGATGGGGTTGATGTACATTGTTCGAGCATAGACGCTATTACTGTAGCTCCTGAGGTATCACAACTGTCAATGTCATCTCCAGACCGATACTTATCTGTTAGGCCCGCCAGCATTCGCTCCACTATTACTTAGAGTACTCTGGATTTTTATCGTTTCACTTATGAAATTCCAGATAACATTATTATGCGCGTGTCGGGTCCTRATGAGCRGATGTGTAGCCCACCTCTAGGTGAAACGGCCTTATACACTRCCATGTTTAGTCATGCCCTATGGCTTCCTCTTCACCCATGTGTGCAAYASTTTTTGAGTGACGTTTGCTTAACTCCCGCCAGCTGGTCCCCAATGGGTGGGATCTATTGTTTGCATGTTTTATAGCCTGRCAATACGGCGATAGGGGAGTCTTGACCGTGGAGACTTCTGYTATTCTTCACACCTTTGCTCTGAATGTTGTTCCTCATCGGGAAAACCTGTACTTTTGTTTATCGAAGAGGAAAGAGAAGAAACTCTTAGTGGTATAAGAGAGTGTTGGAAAGCGGAAGGCCTCCAACAAGGCTTCCCGTCGTCGTGACAAACAGAAAGTTACCATATCTAGTTCTAATAAAAACTAGAAAAGTGAGTGGTTTTTTATTAGTGGGGATTGACTTTCCACTGGGGGAGATATTTTTTATATCCCCACTGAATTCAGGGCGGGCTCTTTTCTTTTGGTCTGGCTAGTGTCTTTTTATTGCTAACTTGTATTTTTTTTGTGGATGTCTAGCCTTAGCTCATACTTGTGGTCGACGTACTTATGCTGCTGCATGCTTAGAAAGAGGCTTAACTGACATGGGAAAAAACGAGAACTTACTTACGAAGGGCAGTTTGCGTCATTACGGCCTATCGGATATGACCAGTCCTCTCTTAGAGGTTCAGGGTCGACTTGTTAGTGAGCCCCCACTCCTTGGTCATATTAGTGATTCCACTTCAGGTAAGCTCTTACCTTGACTTTTATTTGCTTCGAGCTAAGAAACAAAGCTTTTAAAAGTAAGCTCTTACCTCTTGTTAGCTTGAAGTCGATCGTCAAGGTAAAAGTCAAGGTAAGAGCTTACCTTAAGTGAAATCACTAATATGACCAAGGAGTGGGGGCTCACTAACAAGTCGACCTTGAACCTCTGAGAGAGAACGAGTCAGATCTGATAGGCCGTAATGACTCAAACTGCACTCCGTAAGTAAGTTCTCATTTTTTTCCCACGTCAGTTAAGCCTCTTTCTAAGCGTGCAGCAGCATAAGTACGTCGACCACGGGTACGAGTTAAGGCTAGACATCCACAAAAAAAAATACAAGTTAGCAATAAAAAGACACCAGCCAGACCAAAATAAAAGAGCCAATAAAATAGTAAATGCCTACCCGGAGCCCTGAATTTAATGGGGATATCAAAAATACCTCCTCTAGTGGAAAGTCAATCCCCACTAATAAAAAACCACTCACTTTTCCAGTTTTTATTAGAACTAGATATGGTAACTTTCTGTCTGTCACGACGACGGGAAGCCTTGTTGGAGGCCTTCCGCTTTCCAACACTTTCTTATACCACTAAGAGTTTCTTCTCTTTCCTCTTCGATAAACAAAAGTACAGGTTTTCCCGATGAGGAACAACATTCAGAGCAAAGGTGTGAAGAATAGCAGAAGTCTCCACGGTCAAGACTCCCCTATCGCCGTATTGYCAGGCTATAAAACATGCAAACAATAGATCCCACCCATTGGGGACCAGCTGGCGGGAGTTAAGCAAACGTCACTCAAAAASTRTTGCACACATGGGTGAAGAGGAAGCCATAGGGCATGACTAAACATGGYAGTGTATAAGGCCGTTTCACCTAGAGGTGGGCTACACATCTGCTCATTAGGACCCGACACGCGCATAATAATGTTATCTGGAATTTCATAAGTGAAACGATAAAAATCCAGAGTACTCTAAGTAATAGTGGAGCGAATGCTGGCGGGCCCAACAGATAAGTATCGGTCTGGAGATGCATTGACAGTTGTGATACCTCAGGAGCTACAGTAATAGCGTCTATGCTCGAACAATGTACATCAACCCCATCTGGTCTTACTTCAGCTGTATTCACTCGCTCTAATATAGCGGTAATACCAGCACATCTCATATATACACTATCAGGTTCGTCCGAAGTCCTACCTGAAAACTCATTGCTCGCTACCCTAGTAGTCGCTCTCTCAACCATCGCCTTAGCAAAAGAACATTCCTCGGTATCTCCCCCAACCCTCGAGGTCCCTACGTCTAAGGAAGGTATAAGAAAGGAAAGCCTAGCTGGGTCAAAGAGTTCTAAAGAATCAAATGTAAATTCTTCATAACAAGGGTCTAAGGGGCTAACGGCTACCGAACTTCCTAAGCCAAAATCCTTCATATTGCATTAGAAAAAGAGTAAAAGATCGAATAGTTACTTTGAAAGTATGCAAAAATTTCCTCCAAATGAGTTTCTCAAAGGAAAATAGACTACTAGATAGAACTTCAGGAATGCCCAACCAAGTGACTTCAAGGATGCCTAACTAGATGCGTAAAAGGTGGACAACGTCTCTGGTTGCCCAATAAACTACACTATGCTCTTAGAACAGCCCAAAAAACTGCCCAACCAGGTGCCCTGACTACGGCCAATCCTATAGTCCGCTAAAAAATCCTTCAAAAAACGTACAAACCGCACAATAAATTCTCTAAAGCCTCAAAGATGCTTAATAAACCGCACTGTTCTTTAGAGGAAAAAACAAATTTTCAAGCAAGATATGTACGAAAAGGATGACGTGATACCTTTTTATATACCTATGTGTAGACCACGTGTCACAACCATACTAGTAGAGAGTAGATTGTGACACCCACGTAGTGGACAAGTGGTGGCACATAGAGGTGGGTGGTGGCTACCAAAGAGAAAAATAGAGGGAACACAACATACTTCAAAGCTAGGAAACCCTAACTTTGAGGTGGGGGCTTAATGTTGGAGGAATTAAATAAATGGGCTTGGCAGCTCATGAAGTTAGAAAGGAGTTGTGCCCAAAAGGTCCTAACTCATTGAAGAAGAAACCAACACACATAAAGTGTGCTGGTTGCACAATGCGTGGCATGTGCGGCACCTCCCCCCCAGCCGCACAATGAAAGGCTGGGAGGGTGAAAGTTTGGCGTGCCCGCCGCCTCGTGGTGGTGGGCCCTGATTTTGTGCGGCTCATTGGTCGCACTCCCTTTTCAACCACTTTCTTTGACCGCCGCCAATGAAGCCGTCACCATAGTGCAGATATTGGACGCAAGGGACCCACCGACGCTTTTGTGCATCTATTGGTCTCATTATAGAGCTAATTATAGAGCAGCAATTGGTTTGACAAACTTCCTTGAAGGAAGGTATGTCATTCTCTCTCAAGCAATTCACTCGAGATTTGCTCATTTCCTCTCTTCCCCGCTTAAAGCTCATCAACTGACTTAAGCATCGAATTGTTGTCGGGCGACACCACACCGGTGTTTATTTTCTTATTTTTGTCTTATTGCAGATCGAAGGTTTTCCAAATTTCCAAATCAAATCTTTATCAAAAAATTCGACGATCAATTCCCTGGGTTACTTGGTTCGCTCGACCCGAGTTCCCAAAAATTGCATCAACTGTTGGTGCCGTCTGTGGAGATTGGCTTTCCACTAGGGGAGGTATTTTTGATATCCCGATTGAATTCAGGATTCCAGGTAGGCATTTACTATTTTATTGACTCTTTTCTTTTGGTCTGACTAGTGTCTTTTTGTAGGCATTCAGCTACCTACCTTCTAGAAACTACAACAACATAATCTTTAGGAGATAGGAATATATGAAAACCTCACCAAATACCTACGAGAAATAGGTTGCCAACTTCGCTCTACAACCTCGAGATCTCACCTCTGAAACTCGGTCAAACATTGCTGCCATGCCTCTGACATAAAGCACCAACTACTGTTCATAACTGCCCTCAATGTATGCAACAACATACATTAAAAAACCTAAAGAAAACGAACTTATTTAAAGAAAAGTTGTCGTGGCGTTGAGATGCTACCCTTGGCGTCTCAATGTTACGAGTTTTGTAGCGAAGACTAACATCTGCACGCCTCGTTCTTTTTGCTTTTAATTTTCGTAGTGTCGAGACGCTTATGTACAGTGTCTCGGCACTGCCCATTTGCCAAATGGTCCTGAAGTAGAACACCTTTTTCATCCCTCTCTTCATCCTGACTTGTTCCAATGTCGATTTGGTTCCATAATCCCAATATATGCGAGTTTATTCAACCGCTAGAAAGAGATGATTTGTACTAATGGAAGAAGACAAAAGCTCCTTTTTCTACAACACTACATCTATTTGAGAAGCCCTATCCATTGCCGAAAGATGGTTATTAGTTCAAGGACGCAAGGTGCCCTTACTTTTTCAGGGTAAGAAGGGGCAGAGAAAATACCTCGAGCCAATGATGATAGGAGAGGATAAAAGAGTATGAATACTTCTCTTTTCTTTCTTGATGATAAATACTTCTATTTTCTTTCTTGATGTTTTTGCAAACTTATAATTTCAAGATAGTCTCCAAAATAAGAGTAACTGGATACTTCAAATACTTCAACTTAGCAACTAAATCTGGTGGGTCACATATCAACAATGAATGTGCATCTTTTAATTGTGCATAAGTAAACAAAGTTCGTGATCTTAGTGTGAAACAAACAAAGTTTACGATCTTAGTGAGAAACATATATTGACTATTAAATGTTAACATGTTAGAACTTTTCTAGGACCATTTTTAATGCAATCATTCAGCGTTGATCTTATTAATTTTACGGCCTACCAAAATTGAATATGTATTGTTAGATACAAAATTGTGCACCTTACAATATATAAGTATTCCTCTCTTTATCTTTTGACAACATCTTGAAACAAGGGGTGGGACAACAAAATGTTGAAGTATTTGTGTCTAATGTCGCATTTCTTCTCTCTGATGGTTGGTTAAAGTATTCTTGTCGTTATTCTCTTTTGAATTTGAAGTCTTGGGAAAATTTTGAGCTATTATATTGTTTTAACGAGAATGATAATGGTAGGCGATCCACACCTAATTTTATCGTAGATATATAATTTTCATCTTGCAACAAAATTCTTATCAGATTTTCCAACGTGCACTGCAATCCATCACGATTCTTGTCTATCTTCACCATTCCTCCTAATGCTTTCACAACCAATGGTATGCCACTAAATTTTTCAACAAGTTCTTCCCGAACCTCATCCAACTTCAAAGTGGTTGGCCATTCATTTATAAATGCACATTTCTCAAACAAGGACCAGCAATGGTCATCTGATAATCTTCTCAAGTAATGCCTAGAATAATACTGCGTCTCCGTGATTTCCGCAACTTCGTCACTCCTAGTAGTCACAACCACAACACATCCAGATTTCTTTGTAATCTTTAACAAACATGCCTTCAACTCGTTCCATAGATTAAGATTCTCATTCCAAACATCATCGAGCACGAGAAAATATCTTTTGTCATTCAGCCATTTTTTGAGCTCTTGAAGTAAGGCTTCCTTACTATCGAAGCCACAAGAATTAGCATTAAGAGTTTCCAAAATTGCTCTTAAGATCTTCTTGATGACAAAAGATTTAGACACATAAACCCATAGAGTTGTATCAAAATTCTCCCTTATCACTTCATGATTGAAGATTACCTTTGCCACAGCTGTTTTTCCCAATCCACCCAAGCCAACAATTGGTAGAACAAACAGAGCTTCATGATGGCTCGGATCAATCAATTTGTTCACTATCTCACATACTTCAATCTCCCTCCCAATAACTCCAATCTCATCTAGAAATGAATCTGTCTCTAGAATTTGAGTAATATCATCATCAGATTCAGTTTCTTTAGATGTTATAGCAACGAGTCCCACAGCACTTGCAGCGCGATAGTGCTCGTGCAAGGCCTTAGCGATGCCCTTAATCTTACTCGCCATCTTGAGGCGAAAAACAAGAGGATTTTTGGAGGATGAAACGAAATAACTTACCATCACCTCTTTCCCAGTTTCCACCTTTCGTCGAAGATCTTCGAAAGCAATCTTGTCGAGTAGAACATCGGCTTCGAAGACGACATCTTCAAGCTTCTCCACCCATAGCTTCACGGCCTTATGCTCGGCCTTGATTCTGTCAAGGTCGTGTAGGATGGTTTCCATCATGAGTAGAGAGTCCTTCAGCTTTGCGAGCTCCTTCTTGAAACCCCATGCCAGACTCATTTGCTCTGCTGCCAGCTTCACTATCTTCTTCAACACTTCCTGCACAGCAAAACTCCACACCAATTCCGCCATAATTTACTTTTTGTGGAAAGAATTAAGATCCAAACTCACAGAGGATTTTTGTGGAAGAGATAAGTCAATGCCTTTGTCTGCTTCCATAAACCGTGATGCGTACAAAGGCCCAGTTTTCTTTGATATGGGTCCATGGGGGTTACGAAACAAAGATTGGACCTTTTCTTTATGAATGGGTAATGTTCTCACTTCTACATGGATTTTTCAAAATCCCGAGAATTATGTATGGTTTGTTGGAAAAAGAATATAGACCAATTAACCCAATATGACTAAGGAAAAATATGATTTCCAAAGAAAATTGATTTTTTCAAGACTACGTTTATTATTATTTAATGACCGTTATTTTATAATTAAATATTTTTTTCGTGACATTAAATTTTTTTTTTGATAACCTAGGGGTCGGGCTGCCCTTTGGCCTTTATGCCCTTATATCTCGGGGTATGTGCAATGTTCCCATACTGGTTACATACGGGTCATTTGCTTAGTGGAGTTGCGTTCCATGAAGACCTCAAGAATATTTCTTGAGGCCCCAAGCCACCCAAGCTATCCCTTGGAGACGTTTTCGTGACATTAATTTATAACTGTTGTAATGGTTATAAATTAATTTAGTCAATCGATGACATTTAATTTATATTATAACAGTTTGCTTCTCACCCTGTGACTTTTTGTTTGGAAGGAACGTGAGATAGAATTACAAAAGGTCATGTCTACATGTTTTCTAATATTTTTTTTCCTCCTCTCTCGGTTCTTTACAAAATTTTGAGCTAGTTTTTTTTTATTTCAATCCGTTCTGACGAGTGCACATCCGAGTTGGATGTTGTGTTAACCTTGAGACCAACCGACGTACATACGATTTAGCATCGTTGTCGTGTTAAATTTGCCTTCAAAGTAGTGGTTCTTCGGCACAATAAATTTATTTTCATCCAAATCTCTTGTTCTAACAAGTTCTTTTAAGAAGACTCTTTAATTGTCTCCTCCAACGGGACATAATAAAAATGAAAAAAATATAGGTGTAGAAAAACTTAAACCCCATAGGATTTTGTTTCAATATTGGGACTATGTAGGATTACACAATCAAAACCGTCACTAAACTCACAAGACAAGACTGTTTACAACAGCCTCTACTCACACACTGTCAAACGCTACTCAATTCACTTGTTTACAACAATTTATAGTCTCTACTCACGCACTGCCAACCCCCACTCAATTCTCCTAGAATGCTTGTCACTCAAATTCTTGCCTGAAACCACCTATTTATAGAAAGCCTTAATTCCAAACCGAAAAAGGTTTCGAAATCAAAATTTCGAGAAGATTTGGATTCGGAGCGCCTCGAAGTCAAGGGACACCACCGATGCGCTGCAGCTTCTTTCTGCAGTTAAAATTTTGCAGCGCTTTTGGGTTCGTAGTGCCGGAATGCCCAAGTGCTGTAGCCTCAGCCTCTTAACCCAACTCATATATATAGAAACTACATGTTTTTTCAAACAGTATTTATGTCATCCATAATTATTCATTCATATCTTATTTCTACACTGTTTTCAACAAATGAATAAAATTAAAAACGTTAAATACTGATGTGAGGTACAAAATCGATGTGAGGGACATGGGAAACTTTGGCCCGCTCAAAGCCCCCTTCCCCAAGTTCAATCTGCGAACATCCATGAACTTCCAAACGATTTAATCTGGTGAGATTTGACATGGCTTCTTTGGAAGGCAAGTTTTTCAAATTTCTGCAACCGAAAAGATTCAACTTTTCCAACGATGTAAGGTTTCCCAACCATTCTGGCAAAGTTTCAATACTATCACAACGTCCAATATACAATGATCTTAAAGTAGTGAGGTGCTGAAGTTGCTGAGGAATTTGCGTGCAACTTCCCATTTCAAGCAACTCAAGATTTTCAAGTGAACTGAGCTGTATCATCGGACTCCAATCATACTCTTGCCATTTCCCCTGAATTCTCAATGTTTTCAAGTTACAGATGCAGGGCAGCCCTTCTAGCAACTTTGGAATGCAATTTCTTATGGTCAAAGAAGATAATTTAGGCATATTTTGTAAATTTGGAGGGGAATTAAGATTAGGACACTTGCTTATGCATATGTTTTCGAGGGAGCTGCAGAATTCTATTCCATTTGGTAGTTTTGTCAAATTTTCACATTCATGAATGGTTAGAGATAGAAGCTTTGCAGGACCTTCTTCACTGTCAGATGCAAAAAAGTTTGGAACATTCCTTAATTTCAAACAACAGACAATCTTCAAGCTTTCGAGATAAGGAAAAATTGTGCCATTTGGTACAGTTTCTATTTCTTCCCAATGCTCTAGATTGTTCATTTGAAAAATATGAAATGTCTTCAGTTTGGGGAATAAAGTCATCTCATGGCGGTAATTCCCATAAAATTCATGTCCAATACTTTTTACGCTGTGTAGGCAACGAATGCGAAGTACCTCGAGCTTGGATAACTGCCCGAGCATTGGTAATGTTTCACATCTTTTGCAATCGTGTAGATATATCTCAACAAGCTTTTCCACGAAAATACAATTGGGCAGAAGTTCACCTGCAAAGTTCTGAATTTTCAAGACTTGAAGATTTCTGTGTGGTTGAAGCCCTTCCAACACATTCATATCATTGTAATGGCAGTCTTCTCTTTCACATGATCTCAACCCCCATTGTAAATACAGATCAGAAATATTTTCCTTCTCAGCCAAATTTGCAGCCATGGCCTCCTCTCTACTTTTTACTCGTTCAAGACAAAAGAGGCTTAATTCACCTCTAAGGTTTTTCAAAGGTCCAAGCTCCTCTATCTTACATCCTTCATCAAACCCAACTACAAAACTAGAAAGCGTTTGAAGTTGAATCAATCGACTCAAATGTCGAGGCATTTGCTTGGTTTGATTTGAAGGGTTAATGGGAAATTCTAAATGCCTTAAATTCACCAATTTTCTTAAATTTTTAGGAAGGTCTACAGTATCACTTCCAAGCTTCAATGTCTGCAAATTATAAAGCAAAACAATAGATTTTGGGAGCTCCCTTATTAAAGAGTGTGAAATATCAAGATACCTCAAATGCTTCAATTTCACGATTGAATCTGATAGTTTACGTATAAACCATGAATGAACAATTAAAACACGCAAGTAGATGAAGCTGGTGATCCTATTGTGAAACACATGACTATGAAACTTTCCAACACCATTTTCACTACAATAAAGTGTTCTTATTCTATGACCGATTGAAAGAACAGCTTTGTCCCTCTGACGTTTTCCATCAATTAAAAGATCCAATTGCAATGATTGAGCATTTGAAATAGCACATGCGACATCATGTATAAGATCGTGCATCTTACAATGGATAATTCTCCCTCTATTATCCTTGACAACATCTTGAAACAAGGAGCGAGACAACAAAATATTGAAGTACTTCTCTCCAATATCCTCCATCATTAAATTGCTTCCATTGGAAAGTTGAATAAACCCTCGTGCTATCCACATTTGGATAAGTGTTTCTTTTACGAATAGAAAGTCTGGTGGAAATTTTGAACAATAGGCAAAACATTGTTTCAATGAAGGTGATGGTAGGCGATCCACACTTAATTTTATTGTGGATAAAACATGACTTTTATCTTGTAACGGAATTCTCATTATATTTTCCAAAGTCGACTGCAATCCCTCAGGATTCTTCTCTAGTTTCACAATTCCTCCCAACACTTTTACAACTAATGGTATGCCACCAAATTTTTTAATAAGCTCTTCTTTAACTACATCCATTTTTGGAATTATTGGCAATTCATTTCCAAATGCACATTTTTCAAATAAAGACCAACATTGGTTGTTCGATAACTTTCTCAAATGATGTCTGTGGTGTGTCTCCATTATTTTTGCAACTTCTTCACTCCTTGTCGTCACAACAAGAACATTCCCTGATTCTTGAGTGATCTTTAGCAAACAAGCCCTTAGCTCACTCCATAGGTCAGGATTCTCGTTCCAAACATCATCAAACACGAGAAAATACTTTTTGGCGTTCAACAATTTTTGGAGCTCTTGAAGTATGGCTTCCTTACTCTCCAAGCCACCAGAATTGGGATTAAGGGTTTCCAAGACTGATCTTAAAATTTTGTTGATAACGAAAGGTTCAGACACACACACCCATATAATTTCATCAAAATTTGCCTTTATCAATCCATGGTTGAAGATTACCTTGGCCAAAGATGTTTTCCCCAGTCCAGGCATACCAACAATCGGTAAAATAGATAAAGCTTCCTGATTGCTAAGTTCAATCAACTTATTCACTATCTCAGATACTTCACTTTCCCTCCCAATAACTCCAATCTCATCCAAAAACGAGTCAGTCTCTTGAATTTGGCTAAGATCAGGTTCAGTTTCTTTAGATGTTCTAGCAACAAGTCCCACAGCACTGGCCCTATAATAATGCCGGTCTAACATTTTAGCAATAACCTTGATTTTTCTTGCCATCTTGAGACGAAAAATAATAGGGTTTTTGGAGGATGAAGCGAAACAGTTACTTACCATCACCTGCACTTTTCCAGTTTCCACCTTTCGCCGAAGATCTTCATAAGCGATGTCGTCGAGTAAAACGTCGGCTTCGAAAACAATATCTTGAAGCTTCTCCACCCATAGCTTCAGGGCATGATGCTCTGGTTCTGCTTTTATTCTGTCGACATCTCGTAGAATGGCTTCCACCATCACTAAAGAGTCCCTCAGCTTTGAGAGCTCCTTGTTGAAACCCCATGCCATGCCTATTTGCTCTGCTGCCAGCCTCACAGTCTTCTTCAAAACTTCCTGTACAGCAAAAGTCCACAGGAATTCCGCCATGTTTCTGTTTTGAGATTCTCCAAGATGTTCACAGTCGTTGAGGTGAAGGAGGTCCATTTTTTTAGGATTTCTGTGTCCAGTCCACAGAAAAATGGCGCATACAAAAATCATATCCAACATCCTTTATTGTCTGGGGTCATATCTTCTTGACTATAGAGACTAAAATGTGGACTTTTGTGAAAGATTTAGCACAAGAATTGAAGTTTGAAAAGTATGCAACACGTCCTTTGTTTTCTATTTTTATAATAATTCATGTTTATTTTACTTGCATTTTTTTTTTTCGAAATCTAATCTAATTTCAAACATCTTTTTTATATCCATTCTTATTAGAAAATTTTCAAATTTTAGTTCAAAAATTAAAAAAATAATCATAACTTCTGTTTTACTTCTTTAACTTTAAAAAAATTAGTAACCATTTTGATTCTTACTTCTATTTCGATTTTAAAAAATTAATCACATGGCTTCGAAGGTGTAGTGTTAATGTGAGTATGCTGGTTTTTCTTAAAAAAAAAAATAATAAAAAAGAGAAAGGTTTAAGATTAAAATTAATATTTTAAAAATTTAGAAACCAAAATGAAACAGAACTGAATGTTAATGTGACAGAATTTGAAAATACATGATAATTAATGTAGAAGCTTGCATAAATTAAGTTCGAAAAGAGAGAAGATGTGAAAGGAGCTATCATTTTTAAAATGACACGAGGGTAAAATTGAGTAACTAATGTTAGGGTAAAATTAAGTTTTACAAGAGAAGAAATGTGGAGGAAGTTTCCTTGTTAATTTACGTGTCGTTTTAGATTCTGCCACGTCAATTTTTCAATCAAAATACTAATGGATATTTGTATTTTTTTTTTATAATTTAGCCTAAAAAATAATAGTTCTAAAAAATATGTTAACAAATAAATAAACGTCTTATAGGTTTAATTTAAAAGTAAGAAATTAAAAAAAATCATTTAGAGTTTTTTTTTTCAACAAATGTGGAACTGGTAATCAAACATAAAAATTAGAAAATGTAATATGTGCAACTAGAGCCCTCACATACGCACGAAAGTGTAGCTGTGTGGGTGCCTGAAAGTCCAACAAAGATTAATTGGTGATGTAGAAAGGCACCAACTTGCTCTTCTTCTTAGACCCACAATTAATGCTGCTTTTTTCTACCCACCTAATTTCTTGTGGGGTTTTGGATCCTCTTCATTTTATCCATTGAAATTCTTTGGTGAAGTAAGAGCACAAACATGGCTGAATTCCTAGACTTTTGCTGTGGAACAACTATTGAAGAAGGGAGAACGGGCCTTACCTTTAGCAAGATCTCGGATTAGCAATGGCGAGTCCTCGAGCTCAGTGATAGGTGTCAAATCCAACAAATAATAATTCCTAAAAAAAAAAAAATGATTTCAGATTGTAGTAGTAGGAAGTGGGGTTGAACCCGCAAAGATTGATTATTGATTTATTTATCAAACTAAAGAATTGAGCATTATATGTAAAAGATTGTAACAATTACCTACATTATACATTAGTATAAATATAAGCTTTCATTTATTTCGAGTTTCTCCTGTTTGAACACTTACCTACATTAATATTTATACAAATATAAGTTTATTTATTTTGTATTTCCATTCTCTGCAATTCTTTGTAAACAAGAGGTTCTCTCCCAATTTTGTGTCAACTCCTTATTAGACCATGGATGGAAACAAATTTGCTAGTAAAATCGATTGTAGCAGGTGAGTAAGGAGCGAACAATTGGTACTTTTTCACATAAAAATATAAAGACCTATGAAAATAAACTGTTTATTTTTGTCAACCAATTGGAAAAGATAGAGACATAGGGCCGGAGATAGAGATGGCAAATACAAACAGTGAACAAATTGTAGAGGATAAATTACTCATTTCCACAGTTTGTCAGATTTGAAAAACAAGAGTAGTAATGAATACAATATTCCAATATGGACGAAAACGTCAGAGGACATTGGAATTTTATATGCACCCACGGCACACTCTGTACGAACACGTTGATAAATCTGTTGCAGAAAAAAGCTCTGAAATTCAGACCTTCTGATCAGAAGAAAAACAATGGCGGAATTCCTGTGGACTTTCGCTGTACAGGAAACCTTGAAGAAGACAGTGAAGCTGGCAGCAGAGCAAATAGGCGTGGCATGGGGTTTCAACAAGGATCTCTCAAAGCCGAAGGACTCTTTAGTGATGGTGGAAGCCATTCTACGAGATGTCGACAGAATAAAAGCAGAAGCAGAGCATCATGCCTTGAAGCTGTGGGTGGAGAGGCTTGAAGATATCGTTTTCGAAGCCGATGTTCTACTCGACGACCTCGTTTATGAACATCTTCGACGAAAGGTGGAGACTGGAAAACATGTGATGGTAAGTAATTTTTTTGCTTCATCCTCCAAAAATCCTCTTGTTTTTCGTCTCAAGATGGAAAAAAAATCAAGGCCATCGCTGAAATGTTGCAAGAGCATTATTGTGCGGCGAGTGCTGTGGGACTTGTTGCTGTAACATTATCATCCAAAGAAACTGAGTCTGATCTCACCCAGATTCAAGAAACAGACTCTTTTTTGGATGAGATTGGAGTTATTGGAAGGGAACGGGAAGTTGCAGAGATGGTGAACAAGTTGATTGACCTTAGCAATGAAGAAACTTTGTCTGTTCTACCCATTGTTGGTATGGGTGGGTTAGGGAAAACAGCTTTGGCTTGGGTAATCTTCAATCATAAAGTGATAACCGCAAATTTCGATAAAACTATATGGGTGTGTGTGTCTGAACCTTTTGTTATCAACAACATTTTAAGAGCAATCTTGGAGACTCTTAATCCCAATTCTGGTGGCTTGAAAAGTAAGGAAGCTTTACTTCAAGAGATCCAAAAATTGTTGCATGACAACAAATATTTTCTCGTGTTGGATGATGTTTGGAATGAGAGTATTAGTCTATGGAATGAGTTAAAGGCTTGTTTGTTGAAGGTTACTAAAAGATTTGGAAACGTTATTTTCGTGACTACTAGGAGTGATGAGGTTGCAAGAATTATGGAGACACACCTAGGCATTATTTGAGAAAATTATCAAATGATGATTGTTGGTCCTTATTTGAGAGATGTGCATTTGGAAATGAATTGATGATAATTCCAGAGTTGGATATTGTTCGGAGAGAGCTTGTTAAAAGATTTGGTGGCATACCATTGGTTGTAAAAGTGTTAGGAGGAACGATGAAGTTAGACAAGAATCGTGAGAGATTAAAGTCGACTTTGGAAAATCTCATAAAAAGTCCATTGCAAAATGAAAATCTTGTTTTATCCACAATAAAATTAAGTGTGGATCGTCTACCATCATCATCGTTGAAACAATGTTTTGCCTATTATTCAAATTTTCCCCAAGACTTTGAGTTCAGGAAAGAAACACTTATTCAAATGTGGATAGCACAAGGGTTTATTCAACCACTAAAAGGAAACAACCTAACAATGGAGGATATTAGAGACAAATACTTCAACATTTTGTTGTCTCGCTCTTTGTTTCAAGATGTTGTCAAAAGAGGAACAATTATTTGTTGTAAGATGCACGATCTTATACATGATGTTGCGTGTGCTATTTCAAATTCTCAAAAATTGAAATGGGATGTTTTTGATTTACTGGATAAAAAACCTTGGAGAAGTGAAGATTTTCCTATTGGCCATACAATAAGAACACTTGACTCTAGTGAGAATGATGTTAAAATGCTGCACATCTTGACATCTAACAGTCATGTGTTTCACAATAAGATCAAAGACTTCATTTACTTGCGTGTTTTAATTGCACATTCATGGTTTATACATACGTTACCAGATTCAATTGCTAAGTTAAAAGCATTTGAGGTATCTTGACATTTCATATTCTTTGATAACTGAGCTCCCAGAATCTGTTGTTTTACTTTACAATTTGCAAACGTTGAAGCTTGGAAAATTTTGTATAGACCTTCCAAAAAGTTTGGGAAAGTTGATTAGTTTAAGACACTTAGAATTTTTCACCTATCCTTATGATTCTAAGCAAATGCCTCGACATCTTGGACAATTGATTCAACTTCAAACGTTGTCCAATTTTATCGTCGGGTTTGACAAGGGATGTAAGATAGAGGAACTTGGACCTTTGAAAAACCTTAAAAGTAAACTGCATCTTTCATGTCTTGAGCGAGTCAGAAGTAAAAAGGAAGCCATTGCTGCAAATTTGGTGGAAAAGGATAATATATCTGAACTCTATCTTCAATGGAGTTTGAGATGTGAAAGATCAGAAGGATACAATTTCGCTGATTTGGAGGTGTTGGAGGGACTTCAACCACATGAAAATCTTCAAGTGTTGAGAATTCATAACTTTGGAGGAGATGTTTTGCCAAGTAGTATTTTTGTCGAAAACTTGGTCGAGATGTATCTTCACGACTGCGAAAGATGTGTAACATTGCCAATGCTTGGGCAGTTACCAAATCTCGAGGTACTTGAAATTCGTTACTTACATAGTGTAACAAGTATTGGGGATGAATTCTATGGGAATTACCGCAACAACAGGACTTTATTCCCCAAACTGAAAACATTTCATGTTTCTGAAATGAATAGGTTAGAGCTTTGGGAAGAAATAACAGCAATACCAAATGGTGCAATTTTTCCTCAACTTGAAAGCCTGAGCATTGTTTGTTGTCTGAAGTTAATGAATATTCCAAACTTTTTTGCATCTTGCTGCAAGAGCTCATTTCCAAGCTTTCAAAGAAATGCGAAACTTCGATCTTTAAAGATTTTGGGGTGTGAAAATTTGACGAAACTCACTGATGGGTTACAACTCTGCAGCAGCTCCCTTGAAAACCTGTGGATGAGCAATTGTTATCATCTGAATTCTCCTCCAAATTTGCAACATATGGATAGATTGTCCTGTTTAAGCATAGGAGATTTTAAACAGTTTCCAGATGGGGTTGCCAGCCTCTTTAACTTGAAAGAATTGAGTGTTCATGGGGAATTGCAAGTTTATGATTGGAGCCCTCTCGTCCATCTCAAATCACTTGAAAATCTTGTATTGGCTAACTCGAGAAGTAGTGGTGCAGCAGCAGCACAGCTTCCTCAGCAACTTGAGCACCTCACTACTTTAAGATCATTGCATATTTCACATTTTGATGATGTTGAAACTCTACCAGAATGGTTTGAGAACTTTACATCGTTGGAAACGTTGAAGCTTTACAATTGCAGAAATTTAAAGTACTTGCCTTCCCAAGAAGCCATGTCAAATCTCCTCAGATTGAATAGTCTGCGAGTTTATGGATGTTCACAGCTTGGACTTGGCAATGGTGGTTTTGTGCCGGTGAAAACTTCCAATGGGAGCATCCAGTTTCTACGCGAAATCCTTACCCATTTTTACTGATAGCTTTTATTTGAAAAAAAAAAAAAGAAAGAGAGAAAATAAATTGTAACTTTTCCATGCTTGCAAGTATAAGAAGATGGGTCTTGTGGAGTCCAAATCATAAAACAGACTTGTAAGGCGACAGATTAAAGGAAATGGAGAAAGAGCAAAGGAGTGCTGCAGTACATGACCAAGCCAAGAATTCGAGAAGACAGCGCCTAGGCACTATACTTCGGTGCCGCAATGCTTTCCTAGGGCATCGTGGCACTACGATTTGAGGTGCCTTCTGATTTTGAGTGCTATTGTGTGAGTTGCCAACAGAACCTAAGGAGAAATGAGAGAGAAGAGCGCACCAATAATTCTTCTTTAGGGCGTAAAAGAGGTATACAGCAAAGAGATTCCAGACAACCATTATTGTAGTTCTCTCAAGTAGCCATTAGATTATTGTAGTACCTAGAGAGCTTTGTAGAGAGATCTCGTTGTAATCTTTTCATTATTAGTCCTAAGTTTGGGACGAACCAGTATAAACTTTGGTGTTAATTCTCTATCTTTGCCATTGTAAATTTAGATCGATTTATCCTAATTAATCTTGCAGGACAGAATCAAAAAGTAGAGAAACAAACAGCATGCCCGATGAATTTATAGTGGTTGAGTCTTAAAATCTACCCTACTTGTATGTAGATGAAATATGTCATTAAGAGAAAAGGAACTCAAACAAATTACAAACAACATACCAAGAACACAAGAAACATAAAGAGATCTGTTTCTATCCAGCAAGAACAGCAATCTTAAACAGAGATAAAAGAAGTATAAGCAACCCAACCTTTGCTGAAATTCCCAAACGTAAATCGCCTCGTCGATACCAATTGCCAAATGCCCTTTTCTGGAACACCAAACTTATGCGGCAACTTCTCTCTCTCCCTCACGGCAGCAACTCAGAACGAAGATTGGGATGAGTTTTCGGAAACGGGGCTCTCGTCTCCCACCTCCATTTAATAATTCCTTTTTACATTTTATACTCATCATTCTTGGCATTTACGAAACGTTGACTATTCAGAGTCAAAAGGTTTCCTTAACCTCCGTATTCTTTTTCATATTTTTCTTGACATTTCAAATGTAGTTGTTTTTCGAGGGAGGTAGTTACAAATTCTTGATCTGAATGTCGATTATTGATAAAATATGTTTACGTTGGCGTCTAAACATCATCTTCTTTCACGATTTTTATTAATAATATCCAACTTAAAAATGTACCAATATCAAGTATTAAAAAAAAACCTACATTAATTTATGAGATTTGTAAGGGGTAAGATATAAGTTTTCTATATTTAACAAAATAGCATGTTTTTTTATATTTTCAGATATAGCATTTTTTTTAAAATCTTGAATTTAAAATTTTCAGTATTCCCAAATTACCTTTTTCAGTTATCGCGCGTAAACTTTTCCAATTTCTTTTCGTTATTATATATCAAACATATATCACATATATATCAGGAGTATATCTGACAACATTAGTATATCATAAGGAAATCAATAGTATATCAGAAGTCAATCAGTTTTATATCAGTTGTATAATAGAAAATAATTATTTTACCTGCTTTAACCATTTATCTTGTATTTTTTTATCAATTAGAAATCAGTAGGTATTGGCATGCATGGAAAATGAAAAAAAAATTTGATACTTACTGAAAATGAGAAAGAAAACTTGAAAGGAATGTGAATTACTGTGAATGAGAAATCGAAGGGAATGAGATGAATGAGCAATCAATTAGAAATCAGGGGTAAATAGAAACTTAGGGTTTTTCTGTATATCAATAATATAACACTAATATATCAAGTATACATCATATATATATCAGTAGTACAATTAAGTTTTATTTAAAGTTTTAAATATCAAAACGAAAACAACAACAATGTCATTCTTAAAAGGTTTAAACATCGTTCTTGGGTATTAATATCAACATCAAATCAACAGCAAAGTCCTTCAACCAAAAATTTAAAGGTTTAAACATCAAAACGAACCAGTAGCATAAACAAAAAGTAGACTAACAATGTCATTCTTAAAATTCTATAAAAGAAGAAGGATAAATTCCAGAAGCATAAATTCCAACAGTCTAGAAAAGCGTAAGTTTCATTCTTGTATAATCTTTAGGTAAAAGCTTGGGACATCAATCTTCGTTATTGGTGATTGTCGTGTCTTCAGAGATAATATCTTTGAAGCTTTTCGTTTTTCCATAGACTAACACTTTTGGCATTGACTTATGTTGTCTTTTGGGACGAACGACATCAACATTTTCGACGATGTTTTTTTATTTCATCTTTTCGTATTTGTACCATTCCTTTTATCTGAAAAAAAAAATTTATTTCATATATTAGTAGTATATCAGAAAACATATTAGAGGTAATTAATATGTTCAAAATAATTGGTAGATATCATAGTTATATCAAAAGTAAATCAATTTTATACGTATATCAAACGTATATCACATATATATCAAGAGTATATATGTCAATTATAGTTATATCAGAAGTAAATCAATAGTATATCAGAAGTCAATCAATTCTATATCACCTATAGTAGTAGATATCATAATTATATCAGAAGTAAATCAATTTCATATCATATGTATATCAAACATATATCATATATATATCAGGAGTATATCTGTCAATCATAGTTATATCATAAGTAAATCAATAGTATATCAGAAGTCAATCAATTATATGTCACCTATAGTAGTAGATATCATAGTTATATCATAAGTAAATCAATTTCATACCATATGTATATCAAACATATATCACATATATATCAAGAGTATATCTGTCAATCATCAGTATATCAAAAGTCAATCAGAAGTAATTTATTGTTGGTTCGGGCATGCAGGGTATACTTGTAATTTAGAACGTGGGCCTCCGTTTTTTTCCAAAAAAAAATGTTATATTTGAAAAACTCAAACCTTGTTGCTATTTTGCTTATTTTCCTAACTTTTTTTGCCATATCTCAAGTTGCCCCATAATTTTTCATAGTATAATAAATAAGAAGTGCACTTAGCATGTTAGTGTTAGTAATAATTGATATGTATTTCTTCCCTCAAAGTTAAAGGTTTAATCTCACACATTTCAAGTCAAAGCGAGCATAGCTCAGCAGTAATTGACATATACTTAAGAGCCAGATTCAAGAGACGGACTCGTTTCTTGATGAGTTTGGAGTTATTGGGAGGGAAATTGAAGTTTCGGAGATAGTGAATAGGTTGATTGATTTTAGCCATCGGGATGCTCTGTCTGTTTTGCCTATTGTTGGTATGGGTGGATTAGGGAAAACGGCTCTGATGAAGGTGGTATTCAATCATGAACTCATAAAGGGGAATTTCGATAGAACTATATGGGTGTGTGTGTCTGAACCTTTTGTTATCAAGAAGATCTTAAGAGTAATTTTGGAAACTCTAAATCCCAATTTTGGTGGTCTAGATAGTAAAGAAGCCTTACTTCAAGAGCTCCAAAAACTTTTGAATGATAAAATATGTTTTCTAGTGCTCGATGATGTTTGGAATGAGAATCTTAGCTTGTGGAATGAGTTGAAGGCGTGTTTGTTAAAGATTTCTCAGAGATCTGGAAATGCTGTTGTTGTCACTACTAGGAGTGATAAAGTTGCAGAAATCATGGAGACAGATCCTAGACATCATTTGAAAAAATTATCTAATGATCATTGTTGGTCCTTGTTCAAGAGTTATGTATTTGGAAATGAATCACTAGATATTCAAGAGTTGGATATTGTTAAGGGAGAGCTCGTTAAAAGATTTGGTGGCATACCATTGGTTGTAAAAGTGTTTGGAGGAACAGTGAAATTTGACAAGAATCGTGAGCGATTGCAGTCAACTTTGGAACATCTAACGAGAGTTACATTGGAAGGTGAAAATCATGTTTTGTCCACAATAAAGTTAAGTGTGGATCGCCTACCATCGTCCTTGTTGAAACAATGTTTTGCCTATTGTTCAAATTTTCCTCGAGACTTTGAGTTTAGAAAACAAGCACTTATTCAAATGTGGATAACACAAGGGTTTATTCAATCACCAGAGGAACGTAATGTAACGATGGAGGATGTTGGAGACAAGTACTTCAATGTTTTGTTGTCTCGCTCCTTGTTTCAAGATGTTGTCAAGAATAGTAGAGGGAGGGTTATAAGTTGTAAGATGCACGATCTTATATATGATGTTGCATGTGTTATTTCAAATGCTCAAAAATTGAAATCGAATCTTTTAGATTCATTGGATGGAAAACCTTGGAGAGGCGAAGATTATTCAATTGGTCATAGAGTAAGAACACTTGATTGTAGTGAAAATGGTGCTAGAAAGTTACACGTGTTGGCATTAGATAGTCATGTGTTACACGATAAGGTCCCGAACTTTGTCTACTTGCGCGTTTTAATTGCACATTCATGGTTTATATGTAAATTACCGGATTCAATTGCAAAATTGAAGCATTTGAGATATCTTGACATTTCCCATACTACAATAAGGGAGCTCCCAGAATCTATTGTTTTGCTTTATAATTTGCAAACCTTGAAGCTTGGAAGATTTTTTAATGACCTTCCAAAAAATGTGAGAAAGTTGGTTAGTTTAAGACATTTAGAATTTGCCATTGATCCTTTTGATGCTAAGCAAATGCCGCAACATTTGAGACAGTTGATTCAACTTCAAATGCTGTCCAGTTTTGTAGTCGGGTTTGACGAGAGATGTAAGATAGAAGAGCTTGGACCTTTTAAAAATCTTAAAGGTGGATTAAACCTTTTTTGTCTTGAGCGAGTTAGAAGTAAAAAGGAAGCCATGGCTGCTAATTTGGTGGAGAAAGAGAATATTTCGTATCTACGTTTTCAATGGAGTTTGATAGGTGAACGAGAAGGAAGTAATTATAATGATTTTGATGTGTTAGAAGGACTTCAACCACACAAAAATCTTCAAGTTTTGAGAATTCGCAACTTTTCTGGAGAACTTCTGCCTAATGGTATTTTTGTTGAAAATTTAGTCGAGATATATTTACACGATTGTGAAAGATGTGAAACTTTACCAATGCTCGGACAGTTATCCAAGCTTGAAGTACTTGAAATCCATTGCTTACATAGTGTAAGAAGTATCGGAGAAGAATTTTATGGGAATTACCGCAATGCGAGGACTTTATTCCCAAAATTGAAAACATTTCATATTTCTGAAATGAGCAGTCTAGAGCATTGGGAAGAGATAAAATCGGTATCAAATGGCACAATATTTCCACATCTTGAAAGCTTGAGCATTGTTTGTTGTCTGAGATTAAAGAGTATTCCAAACTTTTTTGCATCTCATGACAAGGAGAGGCTGGGTTCAGCAAAGCTTCGATCTCTAAAGATTTTGGGATGCGAAAACTTGATAGAACTACCGAATGGATTAGAATTCTGCAGCTCCCTAAAAAACATGTGGTTAAGCAACTGTTCTAATTTGAATTCTGTCCCAAGCCTGCAAAACATGCATAACTTGTCTTCTTTAAGCATAACAGAGTTCCAAAAGTTGCCAGAGGGGCTAGCCCAGGTCCCTAACTTGAAAAGCTTGAATGTTCATGGGTACTTGCAAGGCTATGATTGGAGTCCACTCGCACACCTGGGTTCACTTGAAAAACTTGTGTTAGCTGACTTAGGAGGAACTGCTGCAATGCAACTTCCTCAGCAACTTGAGCACCTTACTAATCTAAGGTCACTGCAGATTTCGCATTTCGATGGCGTTGAAGCTCTGCCTGAATGGTTCAGAAACTTTACGTCTTTGGAAATATTGAAGGTTTATAATTGCAGAAAGTTGAAAAACTTTGTCTCTATACTTTGTCTGATAACATTTTGGTTTTCTTAGTCTTTGTATATAATTAAGTCTTAAAAATTATTATTATTATTATTATTATTTTGGTTAAAAGCTTGATCATACTCCAACCTATACATAAAGTCAACATAAAAGAGGAATTTTGATAGTAAAAATCCATTTATGTTTTTTTTTTAATTGATGGTCATTAAATTTACCTATTGATTTTTTCTAAATTGGCTATTTTTGCCATATATGATCAAAATTATGCTTTTTTTTTTTTTGCTACTCCATAAAATTTTCAATAAAAATGCAACTCAAACTTAGATTGTCATATTCATGAATGTATAAGAACTAAATCATGGTATAAAAACAAAATACAAGAAATAATGGTACGATTTTGCTCGACGATTTGTTTTTGACCAAATGTTCATATTGGATATGTGTCAAACACTGACATGCCGCGGTGTGTCCGTGCTCCAAATGTTCATATTGGATATGTGTCAAACACTGACATGCCGTGGTGTGTCTGTGCTTCTTAGTTATTACCCACAGATACAAGATATATGGAAAACTTCAACGTGCTTGAAGTCACACCTGCTTGCTAGTCAAGTTCATGTCGAATTCTCGAACAATAAGAAATGATTAGAGATCGAAGCTTTGACGAAGCTTCAATAATGTTTGAAGTGTTCATCAATCTCGAACAATGAATAATGCTCAAGCTTTGATCCTTTAAATCGTGATATTTCAATTCTTGAGAATTTGAAATAGCACATGCAACGTCATGTATAAGATCGTGCATCTTATAACCTATTGCTCTTCCTTTAACATCCTTGACAACATCTTGAAACACGGAACGAGATAACATAATGTTGAAATACTTACTCCAATATCCTCCATTGTTATGTTGCTTTCCTTGGATGCTTGTGTTACGTTGCTTTCCTTGGATGCTTGAATAAACTCCTGTGTGCTATCCACATTTGAATAAGTTCTTTTTTTAAATAGAAGTCTCGAGGAAAATTTGAACATCAGATAAAACATTGCTTTAATGAGGATGAGCTCCACTTATTTTTGCTGTCGATAAAACCATTTTTTCATCTTGGAATGAAATTCTTATCAGATTTTTCAAAGTGGATTCTAATCTCTCATGATTATTCTTGTCTAATTTCACCATATCTCCAAAAACTTTTACAACCAATTGTATACCACCAAATTTCTTAATGAGCTCTCTCATTGTGGAACCATTGGCAACTCATTTCCAAATGCACATTTTTCAGACAAAGACCGACAACGGTCAATTTTTTCAAATAATGTATGCCACCTGTTTCCATAATTTTTGCAACTTCATCAGTACTCCTGATAGTCACGACAACAACATTAATTTTTAGTGATCTTTAGCAAGCAAGCCTTAACTCATTCCATATATTAGGATTCTCATATTCCAAACATCAGCCAACACTAGAATATATTTGTTGTCATGCAGCAAATTTTGGATCTCTTGAAGTAAGCCTTCCTTACTTTCCAAGCTACTGGAAATTGGGATCAAGAGTTTACAAGATTGCTCTTAAAATCTTCTTGACAACGAAAGGTTCAGTTTTATCAAAATTCGTCTTTACTAATTCATGGTTGAAGATTACCTTGGCCAAAGTTGTTTTTCCTAGGTCCAGACATACCAACAATGGGTAAAATAGATAGAGCTTCAGGTCAATCAACTTGGTTCACTATTTCCAATACTTCAATTTTCTTCCCAATAACACTCCAATCTCATCCAAAAATGAGTCAATTTCTTGAATTTGGGTAACATCATCAAGATCAGTTTCTTTGGATGTTATAGCAGCAAGTCCCACAACACTCGCCCTAGAATAATGCTCCATATTCTAACATTTCAGCCATGGCCTTGATTTTATTGGCCATTTTGAGACGAAAAACAAGAGAGTTTTTAGAGTATGTAGCGAAAAAGATTTTACCATCACCTATTTTGCAATTTCCTCGTTTCGTTGAAGATCTTCATAACCAAGGTCGTCGAGTAAAACGTTGGCTTTGAAGCTTCTCCAGCCCATGGCTTCACGCCAAGATAATATTGGTCATTTCGAGTACGATGCCACCGGGTCAAATATGGACACTTTGACCCAAGATAATATTGTATATTTTAGGCATCAGTACGCTGTACAGATGTGGGTGCATCGTCCCATTTTTTGAATAGTGTATGCATTTTCAATACTGTTTCTATGTCATGGTTCATTATTCTAGCATCATACATGAAACACATTCAAATACAATCTCCCCATTAATAATAATAATAATAATAATATAACACATAGGGTTACCAATGCATGCATGCATGGTTGGTTGCTTGAGGTACAAGTTACCATACAAATTTCTGAAAAAACAAGTTATCAATACATCATACATTCACACTGTGTTAAGGGGTTCATTACATGTTTTGCGATTGTGTCTCGATGTACCACACTGACCGCACTTACGTGTTTGGCTCACCTCGCCCGTGGAAGGAATCCTAACTGTCCGCCTCCTGCCAACTCTAGGAACCATATCTGGTGCTTCCACCGGTGTATCGACAAAATCTGGCGAACTGTTCCACGTTGAGACATGACCGATTGGAAATATTGTTTCTGCATAAGCCATTACCTAGGAGTTCGTCGTGTATGCCTCGTCACACAGAGTGTACAGATTTATGTTTCGCATCATCGCCCCGGCAATAGCATGAGAGCATGGAATTTTAAAATAATCAAACTCCCGACAACTACATGTCCTAGAGATGAAATCAACAATCCCGTCAAGGTTGTCATCACGTACCTGGACATGAAATTGGTCGATGTTCACTACAACGTGTCTCCTGGCACTGTCCGAGTATTCAGCAAACTTATTTTCTGCGTAGTCGGACAATGTGGTTGATCGGGAAGAGGCAAGAGTCCGTCGATCGTAGAACCAAGTCTGTAACAGACCTCTGATATGGTCCAATAAAGCAGTTACTGGCAACCTACGTGCGTGTCTAAAGAGGGCATTCACGGACTCCGCAATATTACTGGTCATCTGTGTGTACCTCAATTCTGTTTGGAAACAACGAGCCCAACGCTCCTTCCCAATGTAATCCAGATACTCCCTTACACCAGGGTACGCACCAAGTTGAGCCCAGATTGAGTTGAAATAAGACTCTCGATATGCTTTCGCAGCTTTTAGAAATAGTTCCTCGAGTGCCTTCGCATCGACTTTA